AAAAAAAAAAAAGTTTGTAAATGATTATTATTTACTGATTGATTATTTGCATTTACTGCAAGGTTCAGGTCCGCGTCACGTAACAAGCAATTCATTATCATTGAATCTTTAACAAGTTAAATTCGATCGATTTGTAGACGTGGGACTTTTCATCAGATGTCGTGTGTGTGTTTTTTTTTTAAATTTTAGTTCGATTTATGTATTTTTCCACGGCTCAGCTGGTTATTGAGCAGCGGAGCGGGGGCAGGGGGGAGAGGAGGATGAGGCGGGGGGGTTGCGCTTCTATGCACCACAAACCTGGAACAAACCTCCATAAAAGTAAAACTACTGAAACACTGAGTTCCAATCCCCCTCTTTTCAAAGCCCCTTAAGCTCATATTATAGATTTTAATGTAAAAATAATGTTTTCTGTGTTTCTGGTGTGCTTTTATTTTGGATGATGACTTAATTTAATTCCCTTTTTCTTGTCGTTTTCCCATTCAGCGCACCTCGGACTGTCTCCTCCGGCTTTTCTTAAAACCCTCGGACAACACACAGCTCTGGCTCCGTGTCGAAACCGTCAGAAAAGTGAGTACAGGACCACCTGATGAGTGAGTTCTTTTTTTTTCTTTATGATTGACCTCCTCTCGTCCTGTAAAAGAACAAAACACTCAGTGCCTTTAAATCTCAACCCGTCTTTTCAGAGTTGCTTTTGGCTGAAGCAGGGTTAGAGTGTGGGTTTTGATGTTTTTTCATGTTTTTATCTTTATCCTCTATTCCTTCCTCTTTTTCTCTGCTTACGACTCTTGGAGGTTTAGAATCCTTGTCGGTGGCTGAACTAGTTTCCTCTGTCTTTGTGTGTGTGTGTGTGTGTGTGTGTGTGTGTTTTGCTAATGAATAAAATTGTGCATTCGTTGCTATTCCTTCTGGTCCTCAAGTTAAGCTGGTCGTTGTTTTTTTCCTACACTGGATGGCAGCATTTCCACACCAGGTGAAATGTGGCTGTTCTCAACGGTGCATCATCTCCTCACTGGGTGAGATTCGGATGCGTCAGCCAGCAGATCTCCACAGATGGTTCATCGTAGCAAGATGTCACTGAGAGTCATTAGGCTCGCTGCTTACAGTCAGGGTTGCCTAGGGAGAGGTCAGTTTCATCCAAATTGCAGCCGTGCCACGTGAGGCGATGTTCTTTTTCTTTTATTTTTTTCAATCAATAAACTTTATATAAGGCAAGACAAATACAACAGTGCAACTCTGTAGAAGGCATAGCAGAGGCAGACTTGGAAATGGAAACGTAGAGTAAGATTTTTATAATAATAAATAATAGTAATCCGTAACAATTGATAATGGAACAAGAACTGAAAGAGCAACAAGGTGATTTGTATGTTAGGATTGACCTGGATTGGTGGGCAGTTCCATTAATGTTTCAGTCAAGTGTTCCAAATGATCCAATACATTTCAGAGATTACAAATATAACTGGAATTCAGATTAAAAAAGAAAAACTGGACATCATTCTTTGTTTATGAATAAAGAATGTTGCCAAACAAAATATTAGGTTACAACAGAGTTCTATTGTTTTGTTTTTCATTTACTCTCCAAAGGTTACCCTATCTCTAGAAATACATTATGGAAGGGTTTTCTTCCATAATTTATTTTGAATGTGTCCTTCAGAGAAGCTTTTGTTTTTGTTTTTTTCTGATAGATTGTGGCATTATTTATTACTTTTGTAAATAGTTTTTTATATATTTTAGAGTTTCTTTTCTTTTTTTTTTCCCTCGTTTTTGTAAGGTTTTTTTTTTCCTTTCGGGGGGGGGGGGGATGTGCCAGACGCCAACTCATTATCTCAGGTAAAATGCTAATTACATGATAATGCAAATCCTAATGATCTGCAGTATTATGAACTGATGCAAGTCATTATTTCATAATAAAGATTTATTATTGAATTGACTTAAAAGAAACTTTAGTTGAATGTGCAGTGGATTTTTGTCTCCACTAGATGGAGGCACTGAATCACAGACTGGCAAGCGCACGCCCCACTTTTAGGTAATGTATTGATGTAGAATAATTATTATTTCTTTGGACTCCGCGGTTGAGATCCGTCACGTCACTTCCGCTCCAGAGCGACCTTTAGATGTTCTCCGAATTCAATTAAGATGATCAATTTAAACATTATCCGAAAATAACTTCCCCGCTCCTCAAGTTTTTGAAAAAAACTGCTTTTAAATTATTATTATTATTATTATTATTATTATTATTATTACCTAGATCTTTTATATAGCATGTTATCTTTTTCCATAGAATGTGAGAGATTCTGCTTGCTCTTTCCAAGTTCTGCAGAGCAATTTTCTGCTTCTTGCAGAAAAATAATTCTAAATAAAATAAAGAAAAATATCAACAATGACTTAAAATGGAACAGTGACAGGCTGTTTATTGATGGATTTCCCCGCCCCCCCTGTGTGCTTCGTTAACGAACACCGAATGTCCATCCGTCAGTTTTGTACAAGAACAACACCTCTTTCCAAGTCCGTCTGTTTTGTTTTTCTTTTTCTGAACTTCATTTCCCAGAATGCATCGCGCGCGCAGAGCACGATAGGTAATCAAAGTCCTTTGTTGATAGTTGTTCGGCCGATTTATCAAACTTTTTCTAATTATTATTATTATTGTTATTATTTAAATATTGCTCAAAGTGTCTGACATACATAAGCACGGCCCGGTTGCACGTAATTTTGTTTTTTATAATATTAGTTTTGAGTCCGCAGATCGGATGCATGACATCACTTCCGCTCTAGAGCGACCTGTAGATGTTTTTTTTTTTCTAATCTAATTAAGATAAGTAATTAAGCATTATTGTCCAAAAATAACTTGCCGGTCATCACGTTTTGGGAAAAAATATTTTTAAATCATTATCATTATTTGCAAGGTTAAGGTGCGTCAAGACACGTTGCACGGATCATGGCTCGAACGAGGCAGCAAGCCAGCGGAAACTTTGTGAGTTTATGCAAAAAGACACGTTGCATGAGTTTTTGTCACACACACACACGCGCGCACACACACACACACACACACACACACACACATATATTGTCAGTAAATCCAAAAACTACACCGTTCATCCACGAGTCGAATAGTACCTGCAAAGCGAGCTGGCTCGAATTAGCTGCTCCACTGCAGCTAATTGGATACAATTAATTTCAATAACTAAATCTTTTCGGCGTCTTCCCTTCTGCCAGAGGCTTAATAATTAAATAATAAAATAGTAGGGTTTTTTTTAAAAAAAAGAAGGAAAAAAAAAAGACAGCTTTATGAGAGTTTTTTTTTTCTTTTAGGACTAATTCTATTCTCTATCTATTTTTCTGTTTCTTGGATCTTATGTGTTCAATTTCCTTCCAGCTGGGATAATTATTCCTGTTCCTCTCTTCTCTTGTGGAGTTTGGGTTCTTGCTGTAATTCTATGGTGTGTCCGTCAACTCAGTTTACAGTTCTCCTCTTTTATCTATCTGTTTTGTGTGTAAACGAGGCTTTAGGTCCCCTTGGATCGAGTATATTGTGTGTCTGTGTGAGTGTGTGTGTGTATGTGTGTGTGTGTGTGTATTTGGTTCTTTCTATAGAGACTTGAAAAAAATTTCCTTGTTTTTTTTTAACGCTCGTCAAATCTTTTTCCCGTCCACAGACTGGCTTCCACGAGGTGCTAGCAGTTCCAGAGGAGATCCCGATCCCCCACTGAGCTTTACCGAAGCAGATCCCATCCCCTTCTCCAAGTCAAAGGAGAATTCGGGCCGGCAGGCCCAAACACTGCTGGATTTCTCCCAGACCCCTAGGATAATATCTTACACCGATTAGGTGTAAGATTATCCACTGTGGACCAGGAGGAGTCAGAACCTCTGCGGTGTAAAACAATACCAGGAAGAGAAAGAAGATAATCAGATGAACGTGAGAAGTTCAGTACTGTGCAACCAGGTGTGATTGATTTTTTTTTTAGTACACAACTGGTCACCTCCTGGGGCCAGAGGGCTGTCCCGGACACAACTGTTTTGGCTGGTGCAGAGCAGAGCTTCCCAAAGACATAGTTATTAACAACTAATCGAGTCGGTAACCAGCGTCCGACATGGGGAAGGAGGTAAATGGTGTTTCACGGAGCCGGTTTGAGATGTTCACAAATAGTGATGAGCTCTCGCTGGTGCAGAGTTCTACCCTACACTACCCTTGATCCCAAGGCATCTTCAAAGAAGTAAGTGGTCATGCTGCCCAGTGTCAACATAAAAGACCGATTAGAATTAAAATTTAAAATATTAGCAAGGATAAGGATTTAAAGTGGCACAACTAAAAAAAAATCACAAGATTGAAAAATTAAAAAAAAAAGAAAAAAAAAGTTTGATCTTTGCAAACCCACCGGAGTAGAAATTGTGAAATATCCAATATATGTTTGTGTGACTGACAAGTCAATAATTTTTCATTGTGCTCTGCTGATTAAAAACATGAGACTGAGTGACTTCAGCATAAAGGTTGACTCTCCTGGGATAGCTCTGTTCAGGAAAAATGTATTTCGTGTCTTTTACACTGACTAATAGTCACTGCTTCTTTGTTTTTGTCTCCCAAAAGAATGCCAGCACAAGCCAGGAGGTCGAGGTGACTGAAGAGCCTGGCCCACGCGCTGCAGGTAAATTTTGCCAAAGATGTTTTTATCTCAAAATATTTTCCTTTGTTTCTGGTAAATTAATGAATGTAAATTTCATTTAATTACATTTATAGTTGTGGCCAACCTTTAGCATTCAATTAAAAAAGCGAGATTTTAAAGAATTGCCAGAATTATGTAATGTCACAACTCAAGGATTTATTTCTAATCCCAAATCTAACATTTGCAACGTAGTGATAAGACCCAAAAAAATCCATTTTACAGAATACCTAATTGGTTAGATGCAGGATGGCTTTAGGTGGCGTTAATATTTATTCTTTCTTAATTTCAGTCACCAAAATGCCACGGGAGCCAGCAAAGAGAATGGTAACGTAGAACTCCAAGCCATGTGTCAGATTTTTGGCTTCATTCCATCTATTCGTATTGTGTTTAATGCTAAGGTGGGACTACCTCAAAGACACAGCCCCTGTATTAAGCCCTTTGCTGATTGAAATGTTGTTCTAAATTTGAGTTTGGAAGTGTTGCTGCCTGTTTTTTCTTCACCGCTGAACATTTTTAAAGTATGCTGCAAATGCTGTGATCTGCCACATTTCACACGTCTCCTTGCTCCACCAAACTTGAATCTAATGAATGTCTTTTTAACACATGCTGAATAACAAACTATTGGAGACACATTTGATTTGAATCCGGTGTTCTGTAGCAAGCTGTCATCAGGTTCCAGTTCCATCTGTGGCCCTTGGTTGTGTTTTATTTATGTTTCATTTCACCGATGTGGACATTTACAGAGGGTTGTGTTAGAATAGAATAGAATTCAACTTTACTGTCATTGCATCATCACAAGTACAAGCAACGTAATGTAGTTTGCATCTATCCAGAAGTGCTATACAGGGCATAAATATGTACTTACAGATGTACAAAGGTTGTTATAAAAATAAAATGTTCAGTATAAAAATAACATAAATAATATAAATAAAAATGTGGGAGCTATGTGCACTATACAGATTAAGCAGATTACACAGAACATACAGAAATGTTAGGAATGAACACAACACAATTGTATTGTGTTCCGTCTTAATATCAAGACAATCAAATATCTTGTTTCAAATTTCTTCACGCTTGCTGTTATGGCCACTCTCGCATCCCAAAAGCTCCAGAAAACAAAAATGCCAGAGTCGTCCCTCAGGAGGAGGTTTTCGACTCGCTCAAAAACAATAAAAGCACTCGCGGAGACTCTTTCCTGTTTCCAAGAAGTTTCTTTATTTACAAAAATAACAAAAAAAAACCTCATCTCCGAGTTGACTTCAACTAAAATGTTAATTTGCGGTACAAAAACCATTTCACTCCTTCACCAATCAGATCAGCACCAACAGCTGCTTCTTGCCTGTTAATCACAGCAGGAGGCTGACTGACGAGGAGGAGGGTCTAAGCCAAACAAACAAATAAATACATACATAAATAAATATACATCAATAGAGCTAGATGGCTTTAAATCTGTGGAAATTAATTTAGCAATAAATAAATGTATCTAATTCTTAATAGGCTCAAACACTTGCTATCACATCTTTAGACAGTCGTCATTGATGCTGGATTAAAAAGTCTATTCAGTTTCTTAGGCTTTCATGAAACAAAATGTTTGTCGTATTTAAACTTTGCCACCCCACTCGTCCGTTGCATTTTTTTCATCCTTCTTCATTTATATCCATGTTTGCTTCTTTTGCAGAGAAAAGACGAAGTTNTAAAAAAGAAAAACTGGACATCATTCTTTGTTTATGAATAAAGAATGTTGCCAAACAAAATATTAGGTTACAACAGAGTTCTATTGTTTTGTTTTTCATTTACTCTCCAAAGTCTACCGTATCTCTAGAAATACATTACGCAAGTGCAGTTTTTGATTTGATGCACCTTCATAAGCCATTACAACATGTTTTGGTGTGACTGCATTCGTAGGGGATCTGCTCTATTGTTTCTACATCACTTTCACTGGATCAGCATTTAGTCATCAATATTAAATCAATTTCTCAGTAGCTCTTTCAAGGGGTAAATTGCATTTACAATCTTAAAGTTTGTTTCCTTATCTTTTTGTTGAATGGGGAGGAGTTTAAAGTAAGACTTGCGTTTGTTTCCGTTATATTTTCTACTTTCTGCGACCATTGTGGCATGAACGATTTTTATCTTTCTTTCAGTCCCACCGAGACCTCCGGAGTTACTGCGGCCTTCCCCCAGAAAGCAGAAAAGGCGGAGGAGTACGTAAAAAAAGTTGCAGTTGGCGAGCATCAGACAGTATTTGGCAAAGCAGTTGCTGGTCTGCAGCTACCTGTTAGCTCTCCGTGGATGGGTGCACTAACTTTTCGTGCGTCTCCTGGAGTCTTTCTCCTTCTCTCTCTCTCTCTCTCTCTCTCTCTCTCTCTTTCTCATAAATGTACAAAAAGATTTAATTTTCAGGCTTCAAGACTCAACTGGAATCACTGACTAGTTGTTATTCCAGTTGAGTCCCCAGTGTGCACATTGCTGTCTGTCTGTCCGTGTGGCGACATGTTTTTTAAAAGGTTTTAATCTCTTCCTTATCCACGGACGACGCCATGAGGCCACAGTGAGGCCATGGACATGGGAAAGGCTTTTCTCCACCTTTCCTTTTTCTCGAATAAGGAAACATTAGCTCGGCTAGCTGGCTAACATCACTTCTGCGGGGAGCTTGGATAACGACATGTCCTTCAACTTGTGTCGAAGCCGCGTAGCTGGGATTGGAACGTCACTCGCACAGCGCAGGAGAAAAGCTGTGGGCAGCGACGGATGCGTTCCTGGACAAGCAGAAGACGGAGAAGGACCGTGCACGTCAGGTCTGAACCAGCACGGCGTCATCTCCAAGTACACCGCCACGGCCAAGAGGCAGATCAACAAGCTCAAAGGCCATTGGAGAACTTTTAAGAGGCCAAAATTGGTCTGACTTTATTTTGTAAGATTTTCTTTCTTTTTAATTCAAAGCTAAGTCCAGAAAGCTTTCGAATCATATGTTTCTGTTTAGGAGTGGTTTTTTTTTTTTTTTTTTTTTTTAAAAACAAGCTGTAAAACAAAATTGGGCCCAAGGAAAAGCAGGAGATCTCACTGCAATGATGAAAACGTGTCGGAAGTTTGCAAAGAGCTTTTTTGTAAATGGTTCATTTTATTATTTTTGTTTTATTTTCTCCACACATGTCCCACGTTCAGGTTCACTATTCAATTGATTTGGTCTAACGCTAGAATGAAACACTGGAAGGGTTTCATGTCTATAAAGCTGAAAGTTGTGTTTTTTAAATGTGATCATTTGGATCTTCACATTTTGATTCTTGGAGATTTGCAACCATGACACATTTTCCTTCAGAGAAGCTTTTGTTTTTGTTTTTTTCTGATAGATTGTGGCATTATTTATTATTTTTGTAAATAGTTATTTTGTTGTAAATCTCCTTTTTTGTGTGTTGTGATTTGTTTTCAAACTTTCTGTTCTTGTTTTTGTTGAAGAACCTATTTATTGCAATTCCTTTCTTGTCATCCTTTACTTGAGCCAGCGTGCAAAATCGAGATTTGCTTCCAGATTTCAAAAGTTGTGGTTCCAGCAGTCCGGTCAGCCCAACATTTGTTTTTGGCTCGGGTGGTCTGGTGGTCAGCCCCAGTCTGCCTGGGATTCGAACTCCAACCCCCTCCACACTTAACAGCTGCCCCTTGTTGCACATGAGAAGAACTCAAAAGATGAGTGTTCCATGATAAGCCCAGCAAATAGCTTTTTATTCAAAACAACTACAAGTTGAATAAATTCATCTTGATAAGCTTTCCATTTTTATAAGTAAAAATCGTAACAGTTCCCCGGTATTTTAAGATTTAAGATATTTTAAGATGCTCATTTTCAACAGAAAGGAGCGGGGTCAGGAACGAGGACCAGAGATTTTGAAAATTGTAAGATTATAGTTTTTTCAATGCACTTCAAGTTTAGATAGGTACCATTCAGATGTATTTTAAATGCTGTTTAACATACCGATGTGTAAAAAATATTTCAATTGGGTTTCGCTAGAAAGGCTAATGTAAGCTAGCCAATCTACAAAGATAATTACAAGCATGCATGTCTTATGTCCAACTTGTCAGGTAGGGTCTTGCAGAAAACAATAAAAAGAAAAAAATAAAAGTTAAAACATTAAAAAGGATGAGAATTTAAAATGGCACAACTCAAAAATCACTAGGTTGCAAAATTTCAAAAAAAGCAAAGTTTCAACCTTGCAAACCACCTGCAGCAGAAATTGTGAAATATCCAATATATTTCAGTCTCCCGTTTTGCGTCACTGAGAGGTTATTAATGTTTCCATGTCCCCTGTGGATTAAAAACACGAGGCTGGGTGACTTCAGCATAAAGGTTGACTCTGCTGGGATGCGGGTCTTGGGGAGGGTGGGGGGGAGGGAAGAGAGAGGGTGAATCTGTTCAGGAAAAATTCATTTAATCTCTTTTAAACTTGCGTTTTTATTTTTGTCCCAGAAGAAGGCCAGCCCAAGCCAGGAGGCTGTTGAGGGCGCTGAAGAATCTGCCCCAACTTTGACAGGTGAATTATGCCAGAGGAAGATTTTGTTATCCCAAAATATGTTCCCTCCTTGTCAGTTATTTAGCATTATTGTTTCTGGTAAATTGATTACCGTAAATTGCATTTCATTACATTTATAGTTGTTGCCAACCTTTTGCATTCAATAGAAAAAGTCATATTTGAAAGAATTGCCAGAATAATTTAATGTTGCAGCTTTATGTCTAATCACAAATCTAACATTTGTAACCTAGTGATAAGACCCAGAAAAATCCATTTGGAGAAGACCTGATTGGGTAGATGCAGAATGTCTTAAACTGGTGTTAAATTTCTTCTTTCTTAATTTCAGCAACCGATGGCAAGGATCCACTTGATCCAGGACAGAGAACGGTATGTGTTGCTATGCAGAAGTCCGAGCCATGTGACAGTTTTTCAGATTCATTCAAGCTATTCATATTGCATTGAATGCTAAGGTGTGTCTCCCTCAAAGACAGCTCCTGTATTAAATCCTGTGCTGATTTAAGTTTTGTTCTACATTTGAGTTTGGAAGTGTTGCTGCCTCTTTTTCTTCACC